CTATATCTGTCCTTTTATAAGCATTACTCATCTTATATTTAGATTAAATTGAATCCTGCAAAATCCTTGGTTCTCACTTAAAAATATACAATAAGAGATAGATATAACCTAATTTTGACAAAGTGCCAAAGAAGGAGCCCTATTGGAAATGTGGAGCCTTGTTAGAGTGATATCTATATATCAAAATATGTCAATGGCATTGTTCCTGATTTATCATCAATTGATTTGTTGGTTATGCTTAGGATGTAAAGTGTATGACATTCCTCAGCAGCTCTCTAATTTTTTTGGGACAGGCTTTCAAATTGACAACAAAGAGGAAGTTAACATAAGGTTTAAAGCCCGTCTCTTCAATAGCTGACATTGCTTTACTATTCCTTGGGATACTCTTAGTTCTCATGGCTGCATGTGGGATTGCAGTTGCTGTGATTGCGATATGTGCTCTCAGGCATCAGAAGACAGTGCAGACAGCTACAATGGAAATTAAACTTCTAATCACAGTTTATTACTGTAATAAGCAGGATTCACAGGGGACTCTAGCATGGATAAAACATTATTCCAAGATGGCTCATTATTAGAGAAAGGTTACGCTCTGAATACATGCACACAAAATTGAGCTTAATATCAACAGGGAAAGGTCAGAGCAGAAGGAGACATATTTGTTCAGACTGAATGTGACATCCTGAAGGTCTCAGAAAAGCACTAATTATGGTTGAATCGTGGAACAGCTGCAGCAATTTTGGCTTGGACTGCTCACCGGTTCTGCAAAGGACAGTAGTGTAGCAAAATTCTAACCCACATTCCTGACATAAGAACTTATAACTCCCTCTCAGCACCTTTGCATCAAACAGGCTGCATGTGGTCATGGTGCAGTCTTACAGTATTTTCAAGCAGTCCCTTGATACGACAGCTTCGGTTTAAGAGTGTTTGAACATTCGTGACGTGGATACCTCCGTTTTTCTGATTATGAGTAAGAAAACATATCTCTTTAATGGATCAATTTTATCTAAGGTTAATATGGCAATAATTAAATGTCCCTTCAAAACCATTGCGTTTATAAATGCAAAGTAAATACCTTACTGTTAATCCTGTGCCGTTAATTAACACCTCCAGCACTCCAGTGGCACATGTATTTAAACAGTATGGTTTGTGTGCTGGGATAGCCCTGTGCCTGTACATTTCAGTCTACCTTTATATTCTTGATACTATGGAGAAAATCTGCTCCAGCAAGTGTTGACTTATTCCAAGACAGGAGTGTTGGTATCGGCCCTTTCATCGTCACTGCAGTGGCCACGTGGAGCATTGAGGTCACTGTGTACATGCACAGCTCCACGATCCTCTTCCAGAGACAGATTAATGGCCCTGCCCTGCATGAGAGAAGACTAGAGGAATAGGTCTTTCACCTGGAGCTATTATTACCAGTAAGCATCTTAATTGCGATGCTGAAAACAAGGAAGATGTTCTTGACGCGGTGACCTAGTCTGTGACTTCTAGGTGTGGCAGTGGGTTGCCCCTCACCACTCCACCCCTATTCCAATTAAAATGTCATTGTAAGACTAATTTGCTCGAAGAATTGTGAGTCT